CCCGGAACTCAGCGTGATGTCACATGGTATGGAATACCGTGCTCTGTTTGGCCAGGTGGGGTCAGCCCCCACCCCCCGGCTGTGCCCCTTCCTGAAGTTCAGTGAAAATTAACCCTGTCCTGGCCAAACCCAGGACAGAGGCTGACCTGGTACAGAAATTAATAGAAAATGTGTGTCACGGGCATCATGCTGACTGTGGTGCTCTCTGTTGCTGGGAGCTGCAGGGAGGGAACAGACTTTGAACATGAGGACTAGGACTGTCAGCGTTTTTCTGAGGCAAGGAAGGATTGGAGATTACTCCTTACTGCACTTAAGCACTTGCATAGGGCCCAGTAGCTTAACCCTGTCCGAAGGAGGAGATCCAATCTTAGAACAATACAGATTTGGACCCTGATGATGCAGTCTCTTCTACCTGAACCTCTGTTCTTCCTTTCTCAGCATAGGGCTGGCAGGAGCAGAACAGGCCTTCTGCCTGTGACACTGTCTGGGTGTTTCAAGACCTCCTTCTCTGTGGTTCTGCCTGTTCTTTTCCTCATATAGGTTGCTGTTTCCTACTTCGCAGCATCCAAAGCTGCACAGAACCATCTTGATCCCATCTTGAGCTAGTCTGTGAGAAAATGTTTCCTCTGTCTTTCCTCCTGGAAGTCTGTGTATTGGAGAGCAGGCTTGCCAAGCCCAGCAGAGCTACATGTGCCCTGCACCTCTCTGGGGGCAGGAAGACAGTCACGAGACATGTTCTAATTCACCCATGGAATAGCTCTATGAAATACTGTCACATAAAGCTTAAAACCAGCATTTGTACAGTGAATGATTTTGCATGAAGCTAAGCAATTCTAGCTAGGGTAGATTTTTATTTCCTTGCTTACAAGCCTGTTACCGTTTCTTTGTTGTTGGATACGACCTGTTGTAGAAGAAAGATTAATTCACTGACTATCTTAAATTCAGTCTCTTGCTAACAGCCAGGTTTAGGCTAAATCCTGCCATGAGCAAATAGACAAGAGAGAGGTTTCCTTTCTCAGTTTTCTTACTTTTCTGGATCACTTCAGCCACTGTGCTATCACACAGTGCAAGGTCACTTCTAAAATCAAGACCCACCAAGAATAAACAAAAATACTGATTTATCTTAGCAATTCTGCCAGACTGCCCCCCTGCATAAGATCTTACCGTCTAGCTGCTAGGAAGACTTAGAAGGCGAGGTATAGATGTCACAAGCTGCTTCTTTTTTTCAGAAGTGTGGGATGAGCCTTCACAATCTGTTACTGTGCAGCTATCCTCTGTCTACTCTTCTTTGAATAATTCTTTCAGTCTATAAATAAACACACAAGCAGGGAGCACAGGACAATTTCCTTTTCACAGTCCTGTGAAAGTCTGAATCGTACTTCCTTGACGGAAAATGGCAGCCCTTCAAGAAACTTGTCTATGTGAGTGTGCGGGGGGAGGAGGAGTGGCAAAAAGGATTTCCCCAGCTCCAGGGTCCCTCTACTCAATTATTCTTCCACAGCCTTTGAAACTTCTGTTCCTAAGCAACAGCAATGTTAGGTCCTTGGAGATCATTAGCATAATGTTTGGTTCCAGCAAGCAAGTTCAAGCTGGAGGGAAAAGAACTGAACAATATGCAGTGACTGGAAATGTTAGATTTCAAATTATGCAGAAAGAAAAAGCATCTGGACCTGGTTAGAAGCTATTTGACAGCTTCTAACGTTGCCTTAAAATTTGGCTATTTAATTTTTCTTGGTTATAAGACATTGTGTGATACTTGTATGTGTGTGTTAAAGCTCGCAACATTTGTGATACCATTCTTAGCACGTGCCAGATCAGACAGATACAGACACAGGAGGGAAGGCTCATTCAGTGGTGCTGCAGAGAGGATATGAGCTGCAGTTTATATTCATCTATCTGTGACCCTTTGAAAGTGCAGTTGGCACAACAATTTCCCTTTGTAGCATGTGAATTTACTGGAATTTGTCTCTATGACTGGGACTACCAAGCTCCAGCTTTTAGTAACTGCTTGCAATAATTTCAAAGTACTATCTGGAAGAAAAGAACTATGGAAGAGAAATAGCTCTGTGTTTTGTGGTAGGTATTGTTCACAGGAGATGCAACACAGAGGTCCCTCTCTTGCTGATAATGGGTCTGGGATATTATTGGCATAAAGAAGCTGATAATGTTGATGTGCTTGCCTGATTCCAAGGTTGGAGATTGCATTCAGCTCACCTCAACTAATTAATTTAATGGACATTTTTCTTCTATGACCTGAAGTGTGCCTGAGTGTAGCATTTCCACAGTGGAAATGTTATCCCTTTGTCTGATTTAAGCCTGTGAATATACACGGTGCAAACAGTGTTCTGTAAATGAGGGGCATTCCTTTCTCCCTCCCTAGCCTCTTCAAGACATCCTACTTCAAGGAGCCCTACTTGAGTGTTATTTATAAATTTTGTATTACATCTTTATTCTTTGAGCACAGAGTAAAAGTTTACCACTGACAGTCACTCTCCCTATGACATGCTGACTCTCCCTAAGCCACTTGCCACTCTGATCCTGAATGAAGTGCCACTTAAAGTATGATATTTAAGAATACTGTTTGTCCTGTCCCAGTGGGGTATCACTGAAAAGAGTTTGGCCCCCATCCTCCTGACACCCACAACATTCCCAGGGTAGTCAGCCCCCAGTGCTGGAAGATAGGGAAGGAGTGTGCAACAAACCTCCCATAATCCAGGAGGAAGCAGTTAATGACCTTCTATGCCACCTAGACACTCACAAGTATATGAGGCCGGATGGGATCCACTCAAGAGTGCTGAGGGAACTGGCGGAGGAGCAGCAGACAAAGCCACTCTACATCATCTGTCAGCAGTCCTGGATAACAGGGGAGGTCCCAGATGACTGGAGGATTGCCAGTGTAACACCCATTTACAAGAAGGGCCGGAAGGAGGATCCAGGGGACTACAGGCCTGTCAGCCAGACCTCAGTGCTGGGCAAGATTATGGAACGATTCATTCTGAGTGCGCTCACCAGCCATATGAAGGACAACCAGGGCATCAGGCCCAGCCAGCATGGGTTCATGAAAGGCAGGTCCTGCTTGACCAACCTGATCTCCTCCTACGACCTTGGTGACCTAGCTGCCCATGGTTTGGATGGGTGTACTCTTCACTGGATAAAGAACTGACTGAATGGCTGAGCCCCGAGAGTTGTGGGGAAT